GTGCGAGCTAAGGATTAACGAGGTCTTACCTTTTAACGTGTGATTCCTAACACGTTCCTCTGATATAATCACTAGATGAAAAAGTGTAGCAACACAAATCTCTGAGTATTCGCAATACTTCTGGAAGTAAAACAGGCTGAAACTTCCATCTAGACACACGAGTGTAGGAAACTCGTAAACGGGAGAAAAGAAACGTCTAAAGTTATTAACAATTCAAAGTATTTCCAAATTTTATGTTTCTAAAAAAATGTCGAACGCTTACCTCCTTATGTCGAAATCCCTAGTACACTAGGAGACGTTTCGAAATCAATTTATCATATTTATCCAAACTCAATTGAATCAAGGGTTGAATTCACTTCCAATAAACATTCAACCCCTAAGAGCCTTTGAAATGTAAATCCGCACATTTTGCGAAAATCAATCACTAATGATTATGAACATTTACTTAGAAAGATATCTTCATGATTTTCCTCAGGAATCGCTATCTGATTTAAGTCGTTTCGAATCGTTTCGAATTTTCTATAGAGAATATTCTCATATATCCCTTACTGTATTCTATATTTGTTCATTGAAAAACTGATCTGTACGATGTGATCCGAAATAGAAGTGTGTGAGATGTATGAGATAATAGTCTGGTAGGCTGACGTGAGTGGTTTGGTCGACACACTCAATCGACCGCTGTGTGAACCGGTGGTTCGAAACGCAAGGCCGGACAATTGATTCTCACTTCCTATGTTCATTTTCGGAACACGAATGAAAAGAAACGAGTTTGAAGTTTTGAATCCCATAAAGTTTAAATTGTCATTCGCATTTCCAATGTTCTGTCACTGCTACATTTTTGTTAGATACCACAAATCTCCACAACTAGCGACTGCCACGGCTCCGCACGGGTACAATGTTAATACTGAATATAAATTCACTCACCGAAAATTCAAAAGAATGGAGAAACAGAGATGAAAATATAATTTTGTTCAATGGGTGTGGCTTTTTCCCAGGCGGCCGGCGCTCCAGTTGGAATATTTAAAACGCCTTCCTTATTGCACATCTATAACATAAAACGAGTTTGAAGTTTTGAATCCCATAAAGTTTAAATTGTCATTCGCATTTCCAATGTTCTGTCACTGCTACATTTTTGTTAGATACCACAAATCTCCACAACTAGCGACTGCCACGGCTCCGCACGGGTACAATGTTAATACTGAATATAAATTCACTCACCGAAAATTCAAAAGAATGGAGAAACAGAGATGAAAATATAATTTTGTTCAATGGGTGCGGCTTTTTCCCAGGCGGCCGGCGCTCCAGTTGGAATATTTAAAACGCCTTCCTTATTGCACATCTATAACATAAAACGAATCTACATACAAAATTTCAGCCTCCGAAAATATACCGATACGGAGAAACAGTGATGAAAAGGTAACTTTATTTTATAAAGGCGCCTTTTCTCCCGCGGCTGGCTCCCCAGTTGGAATATTTAAAATTCCTTTCTTAGTGCGCGTCTAAGACCAAAGAAGCACCTATATACCAAACTTTAGATACCTAGGACTCACCAGTACGGAGAAACAGAGATGAATGAGTGAGTGACTTTCGCATTTATAAGTATAGATTTAGGGTGAAACCGCATGTGTCGAACATGGGACAAGCATCTATTTTGCGATTGATATAAATTCTAGACTCTTCACATATACTGGTCGTGATTATTTTGGACCATTATATATCAGAATTGGACAACTTCGGAAAAAACAATGATGAGTAATATTTACTTGCTTGACGGTCCGTGCTGTCCATTTAATATCATTTACTTTGGAGGAAATTTATTTAGGCAATGGTACGGATATTCGCGATGCATCAGAGGATTTGGGAGCAGCTATACAAAATTTGAATCAAATGAAATTAACTGATACCATAACGAATAAATGGATGGAATAGAAATTTATACCACCTGTGTCTCCGTAAAAGTCTTGTACGTTTCGTGAAGAAATCGTTTCTTTGCGTACTGAATGGACAGGTACTGGCGAACATTTTTTAATTTTATTTGCTGAATGTGAAAACATCTTCAATTCTCGACCCGTAACTGAACTACTCATTCTCTATTGGGATTCATAAAAAACATTTCGATAAGCTTCAAAATGCAGACTTTTGTCGCTAGTTCTGCAGTCACAAGCTTTCGAAGACATTTTTGGAAAAGATGGACGAAGCGGTATCTACCTACCATTCTTACAAAAAGAAGTGATGATGGAAAACCAGTTGACATGGCGATGTTGAAAATTTGAAAAGTATCAACACGTTTTATCAGTTATGATATGAGCAGAAAATAATTTTTGTAACATTGAAAATTGAAGATGATAACTGAAGATGAAAACTGAGAGATGATAACGAAAGTATATAAAAGCTTGTCCTGAAAATAGATTCGGAAGAGAAATGCTATTTGGAACAACGTTCTGAATTAACATATTTCGGTTTTCGAAAGATTAAGGTATTTTACTTCTGCGTTAGTATTTAATTTTTGAATCTTTGAGTATGTTTTTTTTTTGTAATTTCATATCCGTTATCTGGTTCATTCAGATTATACATAAATTTTCATAAGAAGTGAAGTTTTTGTATTTGTAGATAACGATTTGAGATTTACTGAATATAGTATAATAATTTGAATTTCAATTTTTTTTTATTGTTACTTTTTTTTTCAGATTCAACGAAAGTTATTCACGGTGTAAGGAAGTCATTCTGTTCGTGAATGGAGAACTTTGTAGAGGTTGGTTAACACTCATACTGAATAATAAAATGATTTTGATCTCATGATATACGAATCGGGATTGTTTCAATTTTTATTTATATTGCTGAAAAAGAGTACATCTGCAATATTATATTGGGTTTCAGTTGAAAAAACAGAGGAATATTAAGCTACACGACGACTATCAGAACAAGACGATAGTCGTCGTGGAGTTTTCAGGTCCAGGTGAGACGAATATTGTCGAGATTTACTCTTCCAGTCCACAGACTCTATTTAGACCACTATGTTGAGGTGATTATTCTTATAATTTGAGTCCTTGACACATTAGACACGTCAAGAAAAAACGCCAGATGACAGGTGATGTCAGGCGTTCCTAGTAGTTGGTTGTCTGTTGCACCGAAAGCTNTTTCGTATAATTCAATGTTTATATGAAAGTAGCTGTTTCAGGAGGACTTTCTTTCAGTTTGTGTCTGAAAGTTACTTCTTTGCATGATCTACCCATCCATGTATAGAGTTACTTCCTTCCCTTCTTTGAAAGACTCCCTCATACTTCTTCTTTTTTTTGTATCAAGATGGAGTATTAGAAAGCCAAAAACTTTCTTTCCGAAAAATTAATCACTCCTAAAAATATAACCCCTTCAATTCAAATATACTTTTTCTTTATTTCAGAAGTACTTGACTTTAAATTTTTGAAGTACGCCAAGTAGTTTCTGCCGATATATTGAATATATATTGTCAATATATTCTGAACACGATAAATATTCAGTTGGTTTGTTTCCTATTGATAAATGATGTTTGTGAGAATTTGATATGCAATGTTCAGATATGAATATATATGATGATTTTTCGTGGTTTGAAGAGAATTAAGATATGCTTTACATGATGATATTATTTTAAACCAGTTGCTTTGTCCAGCAAGTGGATGACTTGACAATCAGGTTGTAGGTTCAGTAAAAAAATTGCGGTTAATTCGATAGAGCAGCATATAAAATGTTTATAATGATAATGAAATCTTGTTTAAATTGAAAGAAATATATTTTGAGTAGAGATTAATTTTTGAGAAAAGTTTTGGCTTTATGGATGAGTGCTTGATCTTGTAATGTTATTCATATTGGTGCTGAAGAGGCAATGAGATAAGTGTCTTATTCCGAAACAACGATGTCCACCAGTGTTCCATATAGGTATGTGAAATTTTGCGTCCTTCATATACCATATTGTGTAGCAATTCTGTGAATGATATCTGAATTATTTCCATGAAAAATGTTTGGAGTAATACACACTGAATAGAAAAAATAGAAAACTAGTCTCGAAAGTATTTCTTCTTTCGTGTGATTTAATGTTTATATGAAAGTAGTTGTTTCGGACTTTTTTTCCAGTTTGTGTCTAAGAGTTACTTCTTTGCATGATCTTCATATTTTTGTATAGAGTTCATTAAAAAATAAATAACTTTCTTCTTTTCTTTGAAGATTCACACTTTTTTGTATACAGATGGAGAAGTAGAAAGCCGAAACCTTTCCCCAAAATAAATAAAATCATTTTGCATTTGCTTAGATACGACCTTGCAGTGCCCACTCTGGAAGACTAGCTTCACCATAAACCCTGGTTAGGCTAGAGCCCGAGCAATGCAATAATTTTTGAGAGGTTTACTTACATGGGATTCCCTCAACCCACAAGATGGTATGACTGTGGCACCCTCTTAACGACCAAATGCATATGATCACCCATTTGTTTTATATGGATTACCCACTTTGAACTCTATACTCCTCGGGAAAAGGATTTACATCAGTCCTCAAGGGTAGTGGAAGAGTTCACGTATGCTATTGTAATGGAATTCAGGAAAGATAAATGTGCAACGGTCCATGACAAAAAAAAAGTCACGGACCACGGAGAGAATATACAGCTGTAAGCAGGACGGACTTATAATTACCTCGCAGTAAGAATCTAAAGAAAGCACTTTTTTCTACACTGGAATAAAAACACTGTCTGAACGGGTTTGTTTCACTTACCAAGTTAGCATCATCAGGAGATGACAACGACAGAGTTTCTACAGATAGGTCTATCAATATGCAGACTCCAGGTTATGTGAGTCATCAAATGAGGTTCGATAAATGAATGCTCAATATTGCAATAACCGCCATGGAGATTATCTTTCGTGCTCGAAGAGTGAGTTCTCTGTCGATCCTATGATGATTATTGAACAATTTTCACAAACATTTTTCATTTCAAGACGCCTTTCGCTTAAACCGTAGACGAATTTTACCAACACCGTAGTTTCTTCTGTCGAGGAAGCTAGATGCCAACACCGTAGCTTTCTCTACCGATGAAGCTAGACGCTTACACCGTAGCTTTTTTGGTAGAGTTAGATAAAGCTACGGTGTTAACGAAATGTGTCTAGAAATAAAAAATGTTTGTGAAAATTGTTTAATTATTATCATTGATAGTGTTACTGATTTCCATCAAGTCAGTCCATTCATAATTTGATCCCATAGATGACGTCTTCATAAGAAGAGATGTCATCGCCCTTATTTGCTCAGAGTTTTATCCCATTATTGTCCAAAAGCCTTTCTTTGTTTACGTGAAATTCGTTTTATTTCAGCTGACGTCAGAACACTCTCACCAACAACGACGCTCAACACGTACTTACGGGAATACTTGAATTTAACTGGAACGAAACGTTTATGTCTCGAAGGTGGATGTGGGACCTGCGTGGTGTCCGTTTCCAAGAGAAACCCAGTCACTCAGAGTTATGAAGTAGTAGCAGTAAATTCTGTGAGTATTTCTAACGAATATTTTACCTTTGATAAGTATGTACGAAATAATTAACTAGTAGGATTATTTAATTTTGAAAGTTGGAAAGTTTGGATCTGGCAGATAAGTATTCTAGCTTTTTATTCTTTTTTGTGGTTTTTTGAGTGACGGTCTCATGATACCTCTTATTTATTGTTGTCGTTAATGTGTACTCGTGTATTTCTTTGATTGACGACTTGTTTATTTTGTGGAAATTCATGTTCCCTGAGGATACACTATAAAACACACTTTTGTCTATTTTCCACGATAGTTTTATATTTGTTGACAAGTTTCGGTCATTACTCCATTTTCAAAACTAACTAGATTACATTCAAATCTAAGTATTTTTACCCACAATCTCTATACCTGAGATAACCTCAATTAATAGCAGTATATCGATGAACATAAAACATTTTGATAAAACGTAGGTTTTGGGAATTGGTTTAGATCAATTCGATCTAAACAATTTTATCAAAATGGTGTAATGACCGAAACTAGTCAACAAATATAAAACTATCATGGAAAATAGACAAAAGTGTATTTTTATAGTGTATCCACAGTGTACTCTTGTAGTTACTGAACATTTTGTATCCCATTAATTAATTTTTCGCACGTGTTCACTGCTGATGAACATGTTACTTGTCATTCTCCAGTCATACACACCAAGAAAAAATGAATTAGTTTCTGTTAGAATATGTTACAGATGCTTCTTTCCAATCCAAAGGATTCCTTATAAACCATTCACCATTAAATCGAAAAATGACAATAAATGACCAATGAAAAACATTGCCAATATCAATGAAAAAAATGCAAGTGTGGGTTTTTTTTTCACCCAATAGTGTGAATTATAGTAATTACTGATACATTCTACATGTCGATGGATATAGGCCGAGACCGCATATGCTGGACAAGCTGATAGCAAGTGCATTAGGGTCTCGGACGCCTTGCGGCAGGTAGACTAAGATGTTGAAGACACCATCCTTGCAGTCCATAATGAACCCCTCAGTTTCAGACTTCAGCCCACTCGACCTGAGGAAAGCGAAATTCAGGCGCTTTAATAAGCCAAGGTCTTCAATGTGATCGCTGCGGCTTTTATATGAGCTTTTTGCTGAACGGGTTACAACTCGGTGACAGAGTTGTGATAACCTCGTTCAGTGTTGAAAACTAAATCGAGTTCATCAGCTGTTCGGGCAGCTGCCCTAAAGAGAAATGCTCCAATTCCTGCTATCTCATGGTCGCGGACCATGCACAGAAGGGGATTATTTGTATATGCAATGTATCAATCAGGTGCTTATACGATGGGGGTAATTATACCGCCAAAACACTTTTGGCTTAACAATTTCAAACATTCAATTCATCGAGTTTCATATTTGAATAGACTAATAAATCAGATTTGGATACAATATTTCATAATCGGAAAAGTTTTAGTTCAATGCTCTTCCACCTTCAGTCAGCCTCTCCCTCACTACCTGGGTGAAAAAAAGAAAACTGAGTAACCTACTGAAAGCTTGCATTGAAAGACTGACACCAAGACGCAAGCATGTATAATGACAAATACATAGTAACGAAATTTTTTATTATGTAGATTCCTCAAACATCGTTTGTACAAAATCTCTTCAATTAACTACTTTAAATTTCTGTTTCAAATTTCTCCAGTATAAATTATAACAGATTCAACAGTATCAACTTGAAAATAACTTCTCTCCCTTTCGACAGATTAGCGCGGATGTATTTTTATTTATGAATAGGATAGGTTAGGTGCATGGAGCGAAGGTTCATTCGTTTCATTTGGACTTCACACCAATTCAAACTCCACCAAGTTCACTTTCTTATTGATACCGATTAGTTCATTAGGTGAATGATCTTTCAAATCCGATTGGGTCCGCGCCAAAGCAGACACACGAGTATGGGTACACCTACTCTGCTGTTTCATTATCTTCCAAATAGATACAGCACGCACTATCTTCCGACAGTCTAAGTCTCTGCATACGATGATTGGACGACAGTATACTGAAAATAGGCCTCTTAGACAACGTAGGTACTACGTAGTATAATAATTGTTTGGTGATATTCATCAAAGGATGTATAAATTCTTTGAAATGGGCCATACCAGAAGTCTAAAATTTTGTTTTGTTCGGCAGTTCAATTTGAACCTTGCTCATCAAGAGTCAAGTACATCCAGAATCGCTTGGCTATTTTTCTTCATTTATGTGTCAATTTCTACATAAGTAAACCAATTGTTTTGTTTTATAACAGTTTGGTGCGGTTATATTCCCATTAATAAATAACTTATCTACACATTTTCAATCTTTTACAGTGTCTGGTTTCGATATTTTCATGTTATGGCTGGGAAGTCACAACGATAGAAGGAATTGGCAACTCAGACCAACCTCATCCCCTACAGAGCGCTATAACAACATTCAACGGTACGCAATGTGGTTACTGTACTCCTGGGATGATCATGAACATGTTTGCATTGACGAAATCAGATGAACAGCTGACGGAAGAAAAAGTTGAGAATTCTTTTGGAGGAAATATTTGCAGATGCACCGGTTACAGGTAATATTTTCAAAGGATCACAGTAGAAAGCAGTTTTGCGGGTGATCATATAATTTTATTGTTTGTCTGCCTTTGGTTCATGTTCTTGAGCCAGGTGAGTTATTTGTCCTGCACTACAACCCCGAAACTAGCTTACAGGCAGTCACCCAAATTTTTTGTTATTGAAATTACCTCGTGCTCAAGTGTCTGTAGGTTTCAATTCAATACACAACTCTACTACTTCATAAAACATAGCTTAGTTTCTGACGACCGCACAAAACAAGAAAACAACTTTTTTTAAACACAGATAATTTTTTTTGATATCTTTTCTTAAATTATTATGGAATTAAATAATATTTACAACTATTTGAAGAGATATATCATATTTGATAGATGAGTATTCAATTTTTCATTTTCTATAAGTCTGTAATGATAAATAACTTTACTCTCCACCAATGTTGCCGGTTACATGCCATTACCTATCAAATAATATTCAGATTTGTCACGCACTCTCTCTGGTTTGTAAAATACCGGAAATATAATTATTATAATTGGAATGTTATTCTCTTCTCTAATTGAAGTATTTCACATACGATCTGCTATAGTGGGTATTTTTGATAGGTGGCGTTATTCGTAATTTTCCTGAGACTAAAATTTAGTATAATGAACAAGTCCATAATTACAACCTATGATTGTATAAAATCACGCAAATACGATTATATGATAAAAATAATAATAACTATTGAAGAACCACTTTTTAGAAGAGAAGTCTTTTAAGGTTATTACCCAATTTTCCAATGGGTAGAGAGAAAAAAATCTCGGTGAAAAAAATTAATTCTAGTCGTAAAAATTATTTGATGAAACAGATACAAATAAATTAAAATAAATATAAATAAATATATCCAGAAATTAGAACAGTTTGAAGCCATCTGGTCAATGACCATCTCCATAAGTTGAATTGAAAAAATCCTACAATAATCAAATTTTTTTTTACAAAGAATTAAATGAAACTTCCAGAAACAAACGCATTATGTGAACCGTTCAACAGATCCTCTTTTACTTTCCTGACTGGTGGTTGTTAATAATTCAGGCAGGAATTATTCAATGTGTGTAATTGATGAAAATGTCGTTTTTTATTAGGAATATATCAATCAGAAAATTAAGATTATCCCAATGGAATTATGCGATTCAAATCCAATGTGAATCACTACTTTCACACAGGCACCGCACTAAGAGCGCCTTAAGGATTTTTCTGTAGTGCTTGTATTTTGTCCTCAACAAAATGATGGTTTTTTCAGGTCTGCCCTTTCTAGCCATCTTCAAGTTGATCGCTGTCGACTAGTCGGAAAAACTTTTTCTGGAGACTTATCTGGCAGCCATTTGTGGATGCCCTTAAATGTTTTTGGGGTTGGGGTTCCTTGTCACGAATTTCGATCTGTGAATCCAGGGTTCTTGTAAGAACATCAAGGTCCACTTACTATGCTGTAGGTTTCAGTTTGTACTGGTGACTACTAAAATCGATGCTGAGACTCCTCAAAAGACTTCGAAAGATACCACCAAGCACTGATGTATGCTTATAGACACCTTGGAGATACCGAGCACTGCTGTGCTTTGTGTCTTCAAGGCTTCTGTTCAAGGAAAATGTCAGAATTTACCGACTCTTTTTTTTTGCTGAATAAAAACTTCAACATTGTATGACATCACAGTAAAAAAACAACTGAACAAATCTCTTTCATATCTGAACAATGAATCAAGAAACCCAAGGAACCATTGCTTTCTTAGATGTACTTGGGACATTTTGTGTACGGAAAAGCAATGCACACAGACAAATATCTGAATAACAACTCCAACCAGAGGGGGTTAATCAAAACTCTGCTTGAGAGTAACTCAATCATTCCAAGAATACTTTCAAAAGAAGTGGGTGGAGCGAAGTTTATTTTGAGCGGGTAATACGACCCAGAAAATAGTCAATTTCCAATAGATCTGTCAATGAAACAGCTTTCCTGTCATATTTGAAGAATGTTTTCGACCGGGTCAGGGGAATATGGATATTCAGACCAACGAAAATCATCAGAAAGGGTTAAAGGTCAGACTTAGATCCCAGAGAGCCTTTGGCAATACCAGAGGTTTACCGAAACCCTTGTAGCTTTAGAACGATCTACATCGGAACTACAAAGAGAAGTGTAAGTGCCCAGCTCTTTGAACACAAGAGAAATCATTGCCTGAGGCGTTATAGCGGAACATGCACTTCTAGAAGATAGCCGCGTTATAGCGTTTGTAGAGACACAAATTCTCGATAGAACTCAGTATAATTTTCCACGACTATGTAGGGAGGCGATAGAAATGCAGATACACAAACAATTATAAACGAAAGGAAGAGGAAATTGACCTTAATATAATCTAAGTACCTGATCAGATCATTCAATTCCACCGATAGGAATTAAATCACGCCCACTATAAATGGAATGGAAACGGAGGATCAAACTAATTCTATAGGATCTAGTTTGAGGGAAACTAGCACACCGAGTTCTGGTTGACTTATCACCTTTGTTAATATCTACGGCAGTCGTAGAGGAATCATCGGGCATAAAATTTTGCAGAACATGTCCAGGTAACCCGAAAAATACCTTTGACATAGTTATCTCCCAAAAAGAAAGTTTACAATTTTTGAACAAAAGAAATTGACTGCGAAATTTTAAATCGATTCATTCACCTCTGTTTCCATTCCTAGTGTCATAACGTATTTCAACAGATGTGTTATGGTGAGATTTTCATTTCGATATGAAGTCTTCTGTCAGTTTTGGGTATCCAAATATAATAGTTGATAGCATACAGTCGATGCTATCAACTATGTTTCAATTTGATGTTTTTTGTTTCATTCTTATGTTCTAAATATTAATGCTTTGTTATTTTTACAATAAATTTGAATAAAATTCAGTCTTTCCATAATGATTCCTCAGTATGAAAACATGCTGAGTTCGAAAATAAAATGGGCTAACAAGTGTACGGAAGTAGGTACTTGAAAACAACATTTTTTCAATTTTCCATTAATAATAAAGATTCTTCCAAAAATATTAAATTACACCCATTCAACAATTGTAATTTAAGTGGGAAATATATTCAGCATAATATTTTGTTCATAGGTCTATTTTGGCAGCATTCAGATCTACATTAGAAAATCCTATCGGAGAAGTATCATATCCAGATATAGAAGATATATACAAATGTGACAGAGCACAATGTTTTCCATCATGTGTAGCTTCCAATTCTCCTGTTTACTATGAACCTGAAGGCATATGCTGGATAAGAGTATTCAAATACGGTGATTTACTTCAGATATTGAAATATTTTCAGAATGAAAACAGAACGTATATGTTGGTTGCTGGCAATACTGCAAAAGGTAATTAGCTGTACTTGTATCTTAGAATTATTATTATAATTACTTCATCTACTCTACATGATGTGTACTTTAAAAATGACTCAGAATTTTGTAATTCCAAAGTGACATTTGGGCAACAAATTTTGTTGAAATGAAAACCATATACGAGGGTGGTCCCAGAAGTTCTTGGCCTGATCTGGCACAATCTATAGAGCATATGTTTCAAGTTTGAAGACGCTGCGTTGTTCAGTATTTATTTTTCAGCCATCAATAGCGAGCATTTTTGGTGACTTTATGAAAGTGTAGAAAGTTGGTCATGGATATGTGGTACAATACTTTTATTTGAAAGGCTTAACTAAAATAAAAGCTGAACTGGATTCTACACTGGGTGAATCTGCTCCTTCGTTTAGTAAAATATTGGAGAGCAGAGTTCAAACGACGACGTACTCGTACTCGTACGAGCTGCCAAGACGATCATCGCAGTGGTCGACCAAATGAGAAGATGACTCCAGAAACTGTGAAGAAAATCCACAAAGCGGTACTGAATGACGGTGGACTGAAAGTGCGCGAGCTAGCAGACTTAGTAGGCATTTCCAAGTGCGGTACATTGTATATTATCTGAAAATTTGGACATGAGAATGCTGTGTGCAAGATGGGTGCCGCGTTTGCTCACACTCGGACAAAATCAGTGTCGTGAAGATATTTGAATTGAGTGTTTAGCAAAGTTTCATAACCGTTTCATAACCATGGGTCCATCACTTTGCATCCGAGACAAAAGAACAATCAAAACAGAAGACTCAAAAAGGAGAACTGGCTTCAAAAAAGGCAAAAACCGTTTCATCTGCAGGCAAGGTCATGGCATCGTTTTTTATTTGGAATGCTTGTGGGATAATTTTTATTGACTATCTTAAAAAAAGGCAAAACTATCAACGGTGAGTATTATGCGAACTTATTGCAACGTTTGAGTGAAGAAATCAAGTAAAAACGGCCGCAGGTGGCTAAGAAAACAGTGTTGTTTTCATCAAGACAGTGCGCCAGATCGCAAATCCTTTATTGCAATGACCAAAATTAACGAATTAAAGTTTTAATTGCTACCTCATACACCCTTTTTGCCAGATTCAGCCCCCGCGAATTATTTTCTGTTCCCAAACTTGAAAAAATGGCTCAGTGATCAAATATTTTCCTACGATGAAGAAGTGATGTCGGCAGTCGATGGAAATTTTGAAGAGCAAAACAGTTCTTATTATAAAAACAGTATCGAACTTATTGAACATCGCTGGGAAAAGTGTATAGAGTTGCAAGAAGATTATGTTAAAAAATAAATAAGTTTTTTCTAAAATTTTTGTGTTTTCTTTGTTGAGCCACGTATTTACCAAACCAGAGCCGTATAGTCACACTGACAGCGATTACGTCTTATAAGCGATAAATGTTGGTTCATCATAAAAACTTCACACACATATTTTTTTTCAATGTTCAAACTTTTTATCTCATAGTGACGTTTTCATAAAAGTTGAGTCAATACCATAGGTTACTAGACTTAGTACTACTTCGTTTAGTTATGAAAATGTATTCCTATTGTCGACAGATATTAATGCGTCAGTAGGTGCAGTGAATGTCTACATAAGTGCAGCCCAAATATGCAGAATACTGAGTTAATTTTTTGAAATTGATTGCTTCCTTTCCTCCTTTGGAAGATTTCCATATTTTTCTGTATAAAGATGGAGAAGTAGAGAACCGAAACTTTTTTTTACTAAAAATTAATCTCTCCAATTTGAACTGAAGTTCAATTCTGAATGAAAAAGGAAACCATTTTATCGATAGTGAAATTTGCATTAATTGCATATCCTTAATATTGAGTTGAATTTATTTCCTCAAAACTCATATTTTGTACCATAACCCAGTGGCGGCCTCAGGGGTGGCAACCAATCAGGACGTCACACTTGCAGGGGTTGATTGAAACAATTAAAAATGAGTTTGGCTAAATAAGTATTATATATTATGTCAAATTCACTGCTAAACGCTTATATGAAAGAAATAGTATTATTGGTGACTGAAGACTTCTAACATTCCATGTCATATTCTCACCTTTTTCTTGTGCCCTTTGTCATAACTTTCACTGTCGCATTGTTACTTCCAGTTTTTAGTTTAATGACGAATCAAATCAACTAAAAAACTGAAAACATCCTTAGCAGAATTATTAAAACCGTTAAATAAACATTGCAATTCGCAACGAAGTTGAAGAAAAAAACCAAACTTAATGATAATGCGCGCTCCTGGTGAGTCGAATTTTATAGAAAATTCAAGAAACATTTATACAGAGTGTTTCAAATTCGATCCTCACCATTGGGATCTCGGAAACTATGAGAGATACGAAGATGGTTAAATTGGAGCAAAGTTGCGCATTTACCTGACTAACAATATGCCGTTGAGAAAGTTCTGGAATTCCTTGTATATCTGGAGATATCCAGAAAAAAATAGAAATTTTGGAAAATGGTTTTTATTTTTTCTGGCTTTATTTTTCGAGGGATTCGAAAATAAATTGCACTTCTACACTGCCACTGTTTTCCTGCTATATGTGTTTTCAGAATTGATATCCGACGTTTCGTCATCTGGCCACCATCATCAACTTTATTTTTTCTTATGGGCGCTACATTGGATTCTTTCTGTTTTGAATAGAACCAGATTTTACCTTTTCATTGTTGTATCATAAATTATCATTCTTTTCCAAAAAATTGGAGATATGAAAGCACTTTTACGAATTGTGGGATATTCAACCGAAATTACGAATACATTTGGAGCATAAACAATCCCAGGCAGTTCCGAGAAATTCGACCTTGAGTGCGATTTAGTATTAACGTGTGGGAAGGACTTAACAAAAATAAAATTTTGGGTCCTTATTTATTTGACAGAATTCTGAATGGAGAACTCTATCACCAGTTTTTAATATCGATTTTCGAAGACTATTTGGATGATCTACTTTTGGCTAACTATAACAACATCTGGTTTCAACATGATGGTGCTCCACCGCACACTACCAGACGAGTAGGTAATTACCTGACTGAAAGGTTTGGTGATAAATGGATAGGGAATAATGGACCGATGAGGTGGCCAGCACGGTCTCCAGACATAAGTGTTATGGATACATTATTATGGGGTACACTGAAAAATAGAGTTTATGAACAGAGAAAATACCAAGATATTGAGGACCTTCAACACATCATTGTTAGAGTGTTCGAAAGATTGAGGAGGCGGGAAATTATTCGTGCAGTAAATAATATTCGAAGAAGGGCACACTTGTGTTATCATGAACAAGGCCAGCATTTTGATCATTTGCTGGAATTTACTTGTGTCTTGCATTTAAGTTAATTATTGTTATTTGTTCAAAGTTTTATTTTCATTGAAAAGGACACAATGTGGAATTTCAGAACTTTCTCAACGGCATATTGTTAGTCAGGTAAATGTGCAACTTTGTCCCAATTTAACCATCTTCATAGTTTCCAAGATTCCAATGGCGAAGATAGAATTTGAAACACCCTGCATATAGTAGTTTATGGCCAACAATAAGAGTTACTGTTTTAGTGACAGGGTGTTCTCGATGTCAATTCACCCTTCTGCCCTAATAATTTTTTTCTTGTTTCAACCCACTTTTTTCTAAGTGCTTCTGTTATGCCTCAGAACATACAACTTTCATATCGCAGTAAATATCATTTATACCTTTTTATCATTATATACCAATATATTTATCTATAACGGCACCAAACTACTTCATTTTCTGCATTTTGTGTTAGATTTTGTCTTTCAATATATTTTTTTTGTCACACTATAGAATAAATTTTGTTATCTTAGTATATGGCTTCAAACCATACAGATCTATATTGGTATATACAAATAATCTTTTCTCAATCGTAATCGTCACTGAAGTCCTTTATCACAAGCTTCTGAAGGGAGCTCAATTGACACACAATGTAAAATGTTATTTATTTCAGGTGTATTCAAATCAGATCCCGAACCTTCTGTGTATGTAGACATACAAAATGTAGCCGAGCTGAGACAGTATGAACTCAAGAAAGAATCTGGTTTGATTCTGGGTGCTAATATGTCGCTAGCATCTGTAATGAAACTTTGCGATGAATTATCAGTGACAAATACGAAATTCGCATATTTGAAGAAAGTTTCTCAACATTTTGATTGGATAGCAAATACACCTGTTCGGAATGTAAGTTTCAAAACATTTCTGTTGTATGGCCTACTGAAATTTGAATTTTTTCAGCTCGCTACCTTAGCTGGAAATCTAATGATGAAGCACTATCATCACGAACTGTCATCGGATATATTTTTGATTTTGGAAACTCTTCGAGCTACTTTGACCATAGGTATATTGAAATTATTCATGAATTCAACAATGGTTCTTGAGGAAAAACATTCAGAGTGGTTCAAAGTCAAGGCAAATCACTATTGTTTCGTTATAGTTTGAAGGAGTTATAAACTTTGGCGAAATAAATTGCTTTCAAGTTCAGCATTGATACTTCAAACTTGTAATTAGTTGATTTCAATCAATAATTTGGAAGACAATTTCTGATGATTTTGCCATTCCGTAAAATAGTTTGATGTTTTAACTTATACCATCAGTTGAGTATTGAAAAATTGCCCATCTTATATAATACTACTCATCGCACCACTATCACCAGAGTTCACTGCCCAATTAACTTGCTTCACAATTGCCACTTTCCTAATTCTTTGAAATATTTCAAGAGTCTACAAATTTATTACAAATTATTTTAAACTATCCTCTGTTCCACCTGATTTCTGTTTTATATTTTCAAGATTCCAAATTGGTATAGTAAAGTTTGAAATACTTGACAAGTTTTGAAACACATGTTGATAGATATTTTTGAGAAATTGTGGATAAGATCTACTTGGGAGTCAGATTTGAAAAAAATTCATCAAAACTGCAGAGATAATATTGTGTTTGGGTTTTTTTGGAACAAACTCCATTGCTTGATTTATTAATTGATATTAATTTTCCCAGTTGATACGAGTGACAAGGAAACAGTTGTTGGTCCTTCCGAATTTTTGGCAATCAATATGGATTACAAAGTGATAAAGAAAATAACTTTACCGCCTCTGAATGAAACTTATCATTATGATAGCTTCAAGGTGAGTTCCCAAATCTAAACAATTTTTTTTGTTATTTTTCAACAACTAAAATTGTGTTGTTGATGGTGAATAACGAATCAGTTACCAAAAAGAAAATATGAAGATATGTAGAAGTTGAAGCGGTTCAGAAGTTACAAAGGCTGCCTCTCAAAAGCTTGGAACACTGTTCCGAACCAGAAAACTGTAGCCACCTCAGCAACTTTTGATGCTTCTCATGTATAGAGCCTCGCTCCTAAGCATACCCTAAAGCTGCTGGATTCCATTCAGAAAACAGTCATCCGCCTTATTGGAGACGCGAACATTACTTGCAACCTTGATAGTCTGGAACATCGAAGAAAGATTTGTCTCTCTTCTATAGATAGTTTCACCAGAAGTGTTCAAGTGATTTGGTACATTTGATTCCACCAAGAGCGGTACATATCAGAAATACGCGACGGAATATGGCTACTCATCGTTTTCATGTTCAACTCAGTCCACCTCGAACTTCACTGTTTAACAACTCTTTCATTTGGAGAACTGGGTCTATGTGGAATAAATTTCCTGAGAACGCTTTTCCAAATGGATTCAATCTCCAGTGATTCAAATCCAATGTGAATCGCTACTTTCGCACAGGCCTTAGAGAGCCTAATGGATTATCCTGTAGTGTTTGTGTTTTGTTCTTGAAAAAAAACTTACACGACCGGAGATAATTGGATCAAAGCCATTGTGTGGGCTTGTTCGCTGTAGGTTTTTATGTCCAACGTTTCGTCTACATCTGCAGTTTCATCATCAAAAGCGATGAGGCAACGGCAAGTGCTCTGGTTGTCTCAAAGCAGATACCACAGTATTGGTTTGGGCGTGGCTTCGTTCTCATTACTTGAATTGATTGTCCTGATACGAGATCAAGTGATTGCAAATATTTATCAATGTTGATTCCTTTCCTTCGGTTTATTATATTATTCTGTGCTTCTGAATTCATGTCGACTCCCTTGGATAGTAACTGAGTTCAATCGAGAACTCGGTTCACTTCATACTCGATAACGTGGATACCTCGTATGAGTACATGCAGTGGCGGTGCAAGACACGAATTGAATGTGGGCAAGGTACATTTCGCGAGGCCCTCTGATGATGCAAGAATCAAACAATTTTTTAACCATTGAAAAATACCAAAATTTTTATTTATGTACTTTTTTGGAACATTCAACAGAATTAAAAATTGAACAAAACCGGTTCAAAAGTAATCAAAAAACATAATGTAAAAGTCACTGACAATGCGGCTATTCACTCATTAAGGCCTTTAAAATGAGCCCAAACACGTCACGTTTGCAGTAAATTGCCGAAGAGTTGGTCCTTTGCACTGTTCTGGTTGCAGCATTAAGTCAGAGTAAAAATGTTATTGTACATACTATTAAAAATATCAAATTTTTATATCGATCAGTCGAGTGGATGTATTTTTAACCGTAATTAAATGCATAATTCCTCTTCATAGTATTGGAAATGATCTAGCAACTTTTAAATGAACATACCTAAGAACTATCCTGACAAAATTAGCTATTAGATGTAAAAAACGCTATCAAAATCGGTCAACTAGTATAGGAGCTACAGTGCCATAGACAGACACACAGATACACAAGTCAAAGGATCAACACCCTTTTTACGTCGGGGGTTAAAGATGAAAAATAAAAAAAACAAAAATTTCACAGTTTTGGTTTTACTGAACTCCCTAACCATTGGTTCGTAATTTATCTTTGATATATTGGTATCTAATCTCAACAGCTGCTTCAATGCCAAAGTTGAAAGTTTTACTTAACCCATACACGGTTTACATTGACGTTCAATGTCAAAATGAATAAATCATTTCGCAAACATTCTTGAAAACAAGTTGAATAATAATTTGACCAAAATTTTTTTCAGATACTGGGTAAATCAGAACTGGAAAACGATTTTTTCTTGATTTTTCAAATGGAACACCTTATAGTTCATTTCACATTTGATATCTCCGTGAAAGTACTTTCTAAAATATGGAATTTCATGAATATATACCTAGCGGTTCGATTATATCTGTTTTTCCTGTGAAAAAACAAGAATACAATAACAAACTTGATCTTGACACAAGTAATTCTATTGTGTAATGTAATAAATTGAAAGTATGGTTTCAAGGTTTTAGTCAGTTTATATTGGAACTTCCATATGAGAAGAATAAAGGTTCTTTTTGAATTTTGTTGAAATATTTTTTATTTGTTTCTTTATTTGTTTGTTTGATTCCAATTTCTAGATAATGCCAAGGGCTCAAAATGCTTCAGCATTGGTGAGTGCAGGATTTTTATTTCAAATAACCAAAAAGCTTGAAGTGGCTAGTGCTATTATTGTCTATGGTGGAATAAATACAGAGTTCGTACATGCAACAAAAACCGAAATTTATCTGAAGGGCAAAATGTTATTTGATAATGATATTCTACAAGCCGCCTTCGCAACTTTGGACGGAGAGATTATACCCAGCTACTCCCCACCAAGTTCACAACCTAGCTTCCGAAAAAAATTGGCGATAGCACTCTTCTATAAGGTGAGTGCTTTATTAGTAACACATCGTAGTAGCTATCAGTTTGTTAAAATGAGTTTCAACTCAAATGTTGCCTTATACCTTTTCCTGTAATATACAGGCTGATTCACGGTGGATGGCACATTACACATTTCTGATGAACCAGACGCCGGATCACTTTAAAAAATTCAGTGGAGAGCATATTCGGACATTCTCTACCCAACTGAAATATTTACGACAATGCGATGTTGCCACTTCCATTAGAAAGTAGTAGCAACTTTGATTTATCAGATAGTTCACCCTGATGTATATAATATTATTTTTGGAATGTACAACAATTACCCGACAACTTTTATTGATATTATTATTTACCTATCTGTTGAATATGAATAATTTTCAATTTTTTTCTTCGGAAATCATGACCTCTAAACATGCTTTGAGTTTAGAAATACTATGGTACCGAAATTTGGTTTAGAGTTAGATGATACTTTGGGGCTTCTCTCACTTCAGAACACACTAATAAGAACGTTTTTCTTCCTTATTCAGAGGAATCGGGCAAATTACGGATATGAGGTTGGTTAGTATCTCGTCCACTAGATGGAGTGACATTCTGTTGTTGCTCCAACTTAGGAAGAGGAATGAAATGCTCTGAATGAATTTCAATTTTCAATTATGGAATATCATTGACTTTAAGTCGATGATGGACATTATCTTGCACTAATGAGTGGCAACTGAGCCCGAAACCGGTCTGCAAGTGTGCCCGTCCCAAAATTGAAGGTCGACTCTTTCAGTATTGCCAATTACATATGCAGAAAATTTTCTGTGAAGATTCCTGCACTGACGCCTGTCGGATATAATCCAACGCCTTTTGTGGTATTAGCCAGGGGAGTATTTGTTTTCTGATAGGCGTCAGTCCATTCAACCTACTGTGTAGGTATATTCGAGACTGGCTTGAACGTTGAAAACTCATTTCTTTAGATTTGTTTACTACCAATCTTCAAGCATATCCCACTGACTAATAAGAAAGCATTTGAATCAACTTCAAAAGTAATCCAAAAACTATCTCCACAAACTTTGTGGAGATCAAATCGTGAGGTGTAATTTTTGAAATTATTATGGATCTTCATCAAGTAACGGCCGAATCAATCAGAAACAAAAACTTCAAAAGTATCAAGAAACTTGCCTCGATTCGTAACTTCTGAAGACAACCAGATTGATGTCACGAATTTCCTCAATTATCGATAAGAAGTGCTGAAGAAGATTTGGGTATGAAATATTTATCGGTTCAATGGATCTTGCAAAGACAAAGACGGGAGAAGTAATTTTCAATAGAAAAAAATTGTCATTATTGGTCCAGTGAAAATCATCGTTACAATAGAAGCCAGATTTCAAGAAAAACTTAGTTTCATTGTTTTCTGCATGTTAATGGACAATAAATTGAGGTACCCGATATACGAGGAAGCATTATCATCCAGAAGCTACCTGAATATTTTTAAAAATATTGTATAAAGCTTCGTGGATAATATGCACATTGTACATTGTACAAGAGGAGTGAGTGCGGAACTGGACAGCCTTTTTGACGATCGGTGGATAAGGCGCTTGGAGTCATGAAATTGGCTAGCGAGATCACCTGATCTTAATCCATTAGATTTTCATCTCTAACTAATGTTCAAAGAAAAAGTTCACAAAATACCCGTGCTTCAGACAGATGAATTGTATGAAAGGATTACCCAAACATTTGAAGATTTGTATCGCAATGAAATCAAATCTCCCACGACGAAAGCATCCAACACCCGCATTTTGAAGTTCATGGAAGTGAACAGCCAGCGATTTGAACATATTTTGAGATATTCCACACGACTGTTTTACTTTTTCATATCTATTCATATCAATATTTCCAATTTCAAGTTTTTTCGTGTCTTTTTAAAATATACCCAAACATATTGAAATTTTACTGGATTCGCATACATTTCTTGAGGTTCATTAGCGGTAAATTCGGAAACCTTTCGTTGGCTTTTCTACATGTTCTGTTGATAATTTTGTCACACTGTCCAAAAATAATAAACAAATTCATAAGAATTTCGTTTGTATAGTTTTTTCCATAGTTTTGGGTGTATTTGAAACTTATGGAATGACGAAAATGTCCATATCATTAGGAGAATGTCAAAACCTTAATGTCTCATAGGAATCATGGCCTGCTTACAAAATATCGATTGAAAATATAATTCTGAAGGGATATTTTCATGAATAAATGTCCAGAAGTTCGAAATTTAACTAGGTAGGTATACGCATGTATGCACAGAAAAAAAGTAAATTTTAACAGCTTTCTGAATTTGTAATAATACACAGGATGTTCTATTTGAAATAATGAACTTTCAGTCACTTTTTCAAGCAAACGAAAAAACTGTATTTTTTTACCACCCTGTATTGAAGTGACGGAGATTACGCTAAAGTTTGGAAAGCCTCCAAGTATCACTCAACTCCAAACCAAATTTTGGTACCATAGTATTCCTAAACTCAAAGATATCAGCATTTGTTGAGGTCATGATTTCCGAAGAAAAGAATTGAAATTAATTCATTCTTCGAAGACGGTTAAGAGATGGGTATAGGAAAATATCAAGAAAAGTTGTAGATTCCAAAAATATATTTATATACAGGGTGTTCGATTTCAATAAATTAATATGAAAAACTTATAAAAAAACGTTCATTTACGCCCTAAAATGATAAAAATAAGATTTAAATTACATTAAACATATTAATTTTCCAATAACTTTACAAAATATGATTGTAAATAATAAGATTTAGCCTCAGTGCTGCACCATGTAAATTTTAGTAATGTTCTCTTTTAAAATTTTTACTTCTTCGATATTTAAGCACTCATATTACTTAATTTGAACTAAGGTTTTTCCTTAATTAAAACCAATTCAATCTTATTTTTACAATTGAATTTTGTAAAGTAATTGGATAATGTATAGGTTTAATGTGATTTAAATCATATTTTTATTTATTTAGTTTTTGCCAGGTAAATTTCTTAGTTTATTTCATTCAGTGCATCATTGTTACATGGGCGGTTGCCTGTGTAGGTGATTCACTACGCACCTTACCACGCCTTTTGTCAAGTCGTTTGCGTTTCATGTCAGCTCTCATCGGCAGATTTTTATTGCCTTTTTAATTTCTTTTTCTCTTACCTTTTTCTTTGTGTTGTTGTTTCTTTATTTTCCATAACGTTCCCACGAGTATCGAAGAAGAGTTTTCCGTCTTCTAGAAAGGTTGCAAACCAATGCTATTGACGCCCGTCTCACTAAATTACACAAATCATGGTATGCCTCATATGCCTGTTACTACTGTTGACCGGTTAAGGAGTTCCCTGCTTTGAATCCAATCCCGGATGTGGCAGCAATTTCATGGTAGACACACCAACCGTCTATCATATCTGAATGGGTATTGGGTATGCAAAATTTCAAGTACCTACTATCGACCGTTGAGCAGTTCTCTGGTTTGTAGCTAACCATGAATGTGGCAGTAATTTCATGGTGGACCCCCTACCTGACATTCATACCCCAATGGGAGTGCAACATTTCATGTCCCTGCTGTTTAACCGTTGAGGAGTTCCCTCGTTTGGAGCCAATCCTGACAGCAGCATACGTCATGCTTAACATAAACATGCATTGTCATAGGGACTGGACCAGTATGTAAAATTTCAGCTCAATCGGACACCGGAAAAAGGGTCAAATTTAACTTGTAAAATTCCACCTTCGCATACAAACATATATTCAAGTCAAGTTAAACAAAAACTTTTAAAAATCAAAGTTACTACTACTTTTTAATGGGAGTGGCAACACCAATGAAAACATTTCAGTTGGGTAGACAATGTCCAAATATGCTCTCCATTGAATTTTCAAAGTAATACGGTGCCCTTCATCAATTTAGACATATTTGAACATTTTATATGCTGTAGGTATCATATTGAATTATTTATAATCGAAGAAACTAAAGTTGAATGTGAAATTGCGGGAACATAAATAACTCAGTTTGTAGAATATAATGAAGAGAAGGAAGATGTAAGCTATGGGTTTGACATATTCACAAAGGCGTTCCGTTGCAAAGCCTAGTTTAAATATCGACCGGCGAACGATATTAGTCCTCTCTTTCTCTGCACCTTACACTGCAAGTCAGCTTGTTCAAACCAGATCCTAAAAACAAAACATTAATGATCCAACACTAACAGTGCTGTTACGACCTGTCAGACTGAGCCATGAATGCATTGTTGGACTTGAAGGACAAGCCTGAGTATTAGGAAAAAACACAGCTTTTACAGGCAACTTTGTGAAATTTAATTTTTTGAGGGGGTTGGGGACAGAATTATACTTTCGACAAATTTGGTACCTGAAAGACCGCCTGAACACTTGTTTTGAATTTAGGCATTGCAATCATATTTTTATATCGAATATTCAGGTTATGAATGTCCGTACGATGTGATTTTCCTATGAAGATATGAAGGTTTTTTTGTTACAATTATTTTATGGAAAAAACAGACCGCATGGAGTAACCTTCTTTTCTCCATGTTCAGCCATGTTGAAGCTCATATGAGATCCTGTATCGCCGACCAATACCACACATCAACCTAAGGCAAGAGTTTTGAAATTTTTCAGTCTTATTTTTGTATTTATTGGTTGAACATGGACCATAAAGAACATCCGCATATCTGTATCTGTAGAGTAGGGAGGGTAAGTGTAAGCCCACAGCACTTAGGCCACATGTAACCCATTGTACATCCTCCCGAGCAGTTGTCCTCCTAGGTCATCGTCCACCCTGTTCTTTCCAGGAAGGTGGACAGGTCATTGGGAGACACCTCCTTTATATCGACAGATGTAGGCCAAGACTCGCCGAACACACACTCTCTTAATGACGATAACTCCGGGGACTCGCACATAGGACATGCCTGACAGTCTCATCTTCCTGTTCACACATCCTGCATAGAGGTGTCTCCACTAGCCCCATTTTAAAGAGATATTTCCTTAGTTGACAGTGGCCAGTCAGAAATTATACTGTTAAGCGTAGATTTTTTCTGGTCATCGCCAGATATTTCTTCGGCGCCAGCTTCCCAGGGTCGTCCAAGGTGATCCTGGCAAGATTGCATCCTTTGATTTCATCCCATCTCTTTAAGAATTGAGCATGGATGTAACATTCGGCAAGTTCCGCAATTGTAGAAGGCATCAGGCCGTAGGTGCCACTGGGTTCTAAAATTCTTAGTTCCTTCCTTGGCTAAAGAGTCAGCAATGCGATTACCTTTACTCCTGTCATACTCTTTAACCCACCTTAGGATAATTTTATTACTCACCGAGGCTTTGGTTAAATCTTGGTGACACTCTAGTACAAGCCCTGAGGTTACACGTCTGTTCAAGGCTCACAGGGCTTGTCTGCTGTCAGTGCAGATTGTTATGTTTTTGCTTGAACATCTGCATAATTGAAAATTGAAAGCACCAAAGATTCACATAAAGTCTTTTTCACATAATAAGGCAGACTATGTCAGTTACCGTAAATGATTTTCAGTGCAGAATAGGCACGTTGTAAGAGTTTATTTACAAATTTTCCAAATCTCAGATCTACATCCATCAAGACACCAAGATAAGATTTTTTGCTTCACTAACAATGTCTAGTGTCTCTTTTCGAATGCAGATATTCACAGAGTTATTCACTATGGAACGGTGAAATCTTGGACCAACTATCATTATATTTGATTTACAAAATACAAAATGTATGCATTTATCCTAACAACTAATAAAGATACATACATTTATCCTAATTACAAAGACATATATACACTTATTGAATCAGATGAATTTTCTTTTATCCTAAATATGGATTGTTTTTTTCAGTACATTCTAAGTATAGCTCCTGAAAATTTAGTTTCTGCGAGAAATCATAGTGGAAAAGGGGGATTGATACGTCCATTGTCTACTGGTCTTCAAAGTTTCGAGACAAAGAAGAACATTTATCCCGTATCTGCACCAGTAACGAAGATAGAATCAGTTTACCAAACCACTGGTGAGGTCATTCAGTACATTTTATTTCAATTTTGATTTTGCAATAAGTGAAAAAGTACTTTAGTAGTACTTTACTACTACATTCGACACTACAAAATACCGGTTTTGCCGTATGATCTGGGGGAATTGAATCCGTTGTAATAATTGAGAAATGCAGAATTTCTTCATTTCCAACCATAACCAAGTTCATATGATTTTATCAATTAGCTAACGAGCTTGATGTCGTCCTCCTCGATCATTGAAATCAGACGGTATTTGTTGTATAGTTTTCAGCTCCGAATGGGACGAATTTTGTCAAAAAAAAATTCTGTAAAGAGATTGCAGTAGAATGTCATTACGTCACACCCCTGCTCTACGAGTATTTGTAGACATACAAATTTAGATAGGAAAGGATATGGCCACACTGTGAACGACTGTTCTTACTTCTCACTTGTGGTGTGATGATATTAGTTTATTTTTTATTATCGTTTGTTTATGTATTAGTGCACATCCTATTGATTTTTCGAATTATATAGGCACAGAAAACTGTAAGTACAGAGATGTAGGTGTTGAACTGGTTGTTGCTTGCGGCTTTGCCGGCGTAAAGTTACGTTTGTCACATTGAGTTTCGTGATAGACCATTTTAAACAAATAGTTACAATATTTCTTTATCAACCCAAAACTTCAGGTTTTCAACTTCAAAACTGACGAAATGCAATCTTTGAAACCCTAATTTTCCACCTTGTGGTGAAAATTCCTTATTTCCTTTCTTGATGCTCATTTACGCTATACAAAGAACCCACCTGCATATTTCAAGATTCTAGGTTTAGTAGCGTCGGCAGTACGTTAATATAAGAGCGGGCAACAGCTAGTAACTTATATTTTCACTTTTAAAATACAGTGACTGAAAAAATATTCCAACTGCATTGAATAATGAATAGCTTAGAGAATCGATTTATGTTACCTATAAATAAATTCGCAAAACTAACACAACCGTCAACGACGTCGCCTCACACGATTCCTAGTGTAAAAGACGAAGTTTATCTATATTAAATACTTAAAGCGACAATTGTATCAATTTTTATAAGAATTTGACAGATATTCCAAAATGTGTATAAGCTGTATTTTTGTGGGTTTTATGACTAAAATTACACAAAACCTATGTAAATTGTAGCCCACATGTTATTCTGATGTATGAGCTGTATTTTTGTGGGTTTTAATCTGAATCCGTTAGGTCGTTAAGACGTGAAGGAGCCAAAAACATACATACATACTTACAAACTTTCACATTTATAATATTAGTATAGTATAGACATGCATGAGATTCTTGGTGTTTTTATAGTTACTCATAAATTAAGCTACTATCAGGGTACTTCCTGTCACTTATTTTTTTATTCTGAATACATTTTGTTCTCAAACCACCACCTATTGAAAATCGAAATATAAAACTATTTAAAAGTCAAAATGTTCTTTGTTCCTGGTTTGGATAGCATGGTTTTGATGATCCGTTTTTGTTAGCATTCGATTTTTAACAATCTACTACTATAACTCAAGCATGAATGAATATATCCAAACAAATACAATCGCAACAAGAAGATATATCCTAAAATCGGAACTGCTATCAAACAATGTGTTGCGAGTTTCGTGTGAACGAAATCAATGATGTTTTTTATCAAGTCAGTAGAATGAAATTGATTTCATTTAGACGTGATGACCAACGATAGACAGGTTTCGGAGTATTAGTCATTTCAGATGGAGTAAATCGTCTGAATATTCCAAACAAACAAAATTAATTTCAACTGATGACAAGCTCTGCCTGAAGTTGATTATGTAGTGTGTACCACTGTGCCACTTGCGAACAAAGTCCGGAAACAACTCCACAAACACATATTCCGGGGTAGTTTATTATTCTCAACTGTAATATTTTTTTTTTCATCTGTTAACTTTGCTTACTATCGAATTAATCTGTATGAGAATGTGCGAATGTATATGAATGAACTCAACGGAGTGAATTCCGGAATATGAAGAATACATATTTTGAAAATAGAAAAATTAGATGCCAAAGTGAGCTACTGCTTTCATTGCTTGCGACTTGAACACCGCCAATAATTTTCAATTCAATATACAGCGTGACTCACGGTGGACATTCTCTACCCAACTGAAATATTTACGACAATGCGATGTTGCCACTTCCATTAGAAAGTAGTAGCAACTTTGATTTATCAGATAGTTCACCCTGATGTATATAATATTATTTTTGGAATGTACAACAATTACCCGACAACTTTTATTGATATTATTATTTACCTATCTGTTGAATATGAATAATTTTCAATTTTTTTCTTCGGAAATCATGACCTCTAAACATGCTTTGAGTTTAGAAATACTATGGTACCGAAATTTGGTTTAGAGTTAGATGATACTTTGGGGCTTCTCTCACTTCAGAACACACTAATAAGAACGTTTTTCTTCCTTATTCAGAGGAATCGGGCAAATTACGGATATGAGGTTGGTTAGTATCTCGTCCACTAGATGGAGTGACATTCTGTTGTTGCTCCAACTTAGGAAGAGGAATGAAATGCTCTGAATGAATTTCAATTTTCAATTATGGAATATCATTGACTTTAAGTCGATGATGGACATTATCTTGCACTGATGAGTGGCAACTGAGCCCGAAACCGGTCTGCAAGTGTGCCCGTTCCAAAATTGAAGGTCGACTCTTTCAGTATTGCTAATTGCATATGCAGAAAATTTTCTGTGAAGATTCCTGCACTGACGCCTGTCGGATATAATCCAACGCCCTCTTCTTTTTGAATTCTTCACTTA